AGTCGTGTTGGAGTACTAAATAAACAAGGCAGTCAACAAAAAGTATTGTTCATTCATATCACTAATACTGGCCATTACTGTTGTCATTGGCCGTTGCACGCTTCCATATTTCAATTTGAATTTGGAACAGCAGTAGTGTGCATTGTAGCGGGAAATATGCAGAGAACGAGCTAAAATAAAAATATGTTTTTTTTTTGTCTATTATTTTTCCGTGCACACTTTCTCGTCTATAGTTCTTTAGAAGGTGCACATAATTGTGTTAGTAACAGACATTTTTATCCATCTGTAGGAAGGGTATTGTTTTTGGCTAGTAATTTGATGAAAGTGTCACGTGAAACTCAAACTCAAAAGCATTTATTTCAATTAAACCATAATTTGGTACTTTTGAAACGTCAACAAATATAAAATAAATAATAGTATGTCAGTCTGCCCGTCAGTGAAGCTAGGTGATCGTTTCAAAAAGTAGATTCGAGCGGAGAAGAACGAGTACGAAACTAAGTTCGTTACTCTTTTAAAAAATAGTATGTTTTACAATCGTTATGTTTTCAAAAGTTTTACAATATTCGAATATATATCAGAGATGATACATATTCGAATATTGTATTGGTTCGCGCGCGCCTCAAAGAGCCATCAGACCACCACGGATGATGCTGATGCCGATACGGAGCCGCAGAGGACTTAACGGGTTGCCGGGGTTCGGGCTCGAAGGGCAGGAGTAGGGACGGGGTGGGTTCTAGTCAGTAAGAGTTTGACACACCCTCCCGCCTCATCCAGGCGGGAGAAGGCATTCGATGATTTTTTCCCCCCGTAAAAAATAAAGTATTATACGTTTCTAGACCCAGGAATCAGAATTCACATTTTGTTAAGCAATTACATTCAATTCTATAAACTCTTTCTCTTCTAGAACTAATACGTAATAGATTTCCCTCACGATGATAATATAATATTACTACGAAATCACTTTTCTCAAACAATAAGACGGTTACAATCTGTTAAAAATACAGATAAACAAATAGATAAGTATTGCGTATTTGTTTAGAACTTCGGGAGTCATTGTTTGATGTTTTCTTATTGTCGAAAGATAAAAATGATTGTGATATGCCTGCCTCATTCCATTCATTGTTTTTCTTTTGAAGTATATGATTTTAAAAATGATGTCAATAATGATTACAATTCTTGACGCGTCGTATTATTGCATGTAATCTTACTAATCACTACATACTACCTCTATAAAACAAAGTCGTTATCCGCCGTCTGTCTGTCCCTATGTAAGCTTATATCTTTAAAACTACGCAACGGATTTTGATGCGGTTTCTTTTAATAGATAGAGTGATTCTTAAGGAAGGTTTATATGTATAATACATGCATATTGCACCCGTGCGAAGCCGGGGCGGGTTGCTAGTATTATATATGCGTAAGTGAGTGAGTTTGTGTGTAATGTTTGTAACTTAGGTGCGTTACGGTTGGAGAAGCTACTCTCACGTAATGTTGGCTGCACGGTTGGCGCGGTAGTTGGGCAACTGGCTGCCGCGCAACGTGTCGGGTGTTCGATTCCCGCACAACTCTTTGTGTGGATCCACAGTTATTCCAGATTTGGGTGTCATGTGTATGTGAACTTGAAATATTTGAAACCAATCGGTGACTTAATAACCCCATTAAGAAAAAAACAGACAGAAAAGAGAATTCCATTAACTAAACAATAAATACATCAACTACTACCTACACACCGATGTAAGTAAGTCTCTCTGTCTGTCTGTCCTTGACTCGTCTAAGTTCTGTGCAGCCGGTTCACGCCAGGCGTTCCATTGGAAAGTTCTGCATTGGTGACCCCATTGCAGAAATGTACGAATTCATCGATTAAGCGCACCTTGAAGCATTTAATGCTGATTTACTGTAATAGATCTGGTAGAAGAGAAGATATGTAAAGTTAACCTTAGCCGGCTATGAGAGAATAGAAAACACATTATGTCAGTCAACAACAATAATTTTCAAGTTTTTTGACCAATTAATCAACGAAACTATCAATAAGTAGGTATAACAAACAAGAGATTAAGTATACATGATGACTAATAGTGTATTTTTTCCAATACGTACAGCTGCTACCTACCCATATTATGAACTGTAATAAGTTTCTATACAAATCTCTTTATCAGTGACGGACGAGTTACCTAGCAATAATCTTCATTATATGTTGTTCATACGTCCAAGTATAGTGTTGCGTCAGAATAAACACGGACACCGATTATACATAGACATAATATTACATCACGTATTTTCTCTATAAAAAACTGCATTTTAACCTCATAGTTTAAAAGAAAGAGTAACCATTCAGGTGAAGTGAAAAAAAGAAAAAAGAAAAACCATTTATTTTGCTACGACACACAACAAGAATTTAGGAACACACAAATAAGCCTATGATGATTTTTTATTTGATTCGTAAGTGATTGAGTAAGAGACACACAAACAAAAACTTTCGCATTAATAATATTAGGAAGATACCTCTGTATTGTAACGTGACAAAAAGTGTGCCATTTCCGAAGGGATAGGCAGAGGTGCACACAGAGGTAACACCTACTTTTCACTATTTATGTTATGAGTCTCATGTAATAGGAGGTGAGCCTATTGCCATATACCGGTCACAATTCTACACTCCGTGCTACTGAGATTTTTTTTAAAACTCAGTAATTCTTTGCCCGACCCAGGAACCCCAAGACCATTTGGCCAACGAGACAGTGCCATTTTCCTTAAAGATCGAAATTGATATATAAAGAGAACATATAAGGAACCCACTTATGTAATTGATTTGGGGTGACTGTAATTTCGTTTGTTACCAACTGAGAAAATTACATTTGAATATGATTGTACTCGCAGCACGTGTGACGATGAATATTTAATCTAGCTGAACGCAATCTTTACAATTGAATACAAATGTTTTAAAATTGTCCTTCTTACTCTTAAAACTTTGTCTAGAGAAATATTTTTCATTTGATTTTTGATTTTTTTAAGCTTTGCCGCATACTAGGACAATTTTATCCGATGTCGTGTTATGTATGTTATGTCATTTACATTTCATCTTAGTAGGTATCTTAGTTGTAGCACGGAGTCTGGAAATGTGCCCGGTATATGGCAATAGGCTCACTCCCTATGGGACGCATAATATAAATAGTGAAAAGTGGGTGTTACCTCTGTGTGCACCTCTGCCTACCCCTTCGGGGATAAAAGGCGGGATGTTATGTTATATTATGTTATGTCATTTACATTACAATTACAAATTATGATATCATTTCAGCTATTCTCTGACTTCCTTATACCTACGTTATTCTTGTGAAACGTGCCAGTAATTCATTCCCAGACATCGAGCACAATTTTAGACTTAATATCGTTTAATGAAATTAAAACTTATTAAAATAATGAATACTTACAATAAAAAAATGTACAAATCGAATTATCTTAGCATGGAGTTTCTTGCTCGTTCGTCTACATAGGAATTTATACCTTAGAATGAGCAAATAGATTAATTTTAATTTTTTTTTGACATTCAAAAGTGCCTTTCTAGTCTAATTGAAATAAACGATTTTGACTTTGACAGCCTCGACCAACAAACATAAAGTAACTTTAGATAAACACATACATAATTTAGATGTTCCTTAACATTTTCTAACCTAACCTTCAGTATGTAGGTTACATTGAGAAGGCTAGTCCTATTCCGGTTGGTTACATTTGATAGCCTGCTTGGGAATGGGACATCGGAGGTCCAGAGCTAATGTTGCGTGTAGGACACACTGAACGGACTGACGATAACTATGTCTGTAGTAAGCTGTGGCGTCAGTTTCTTGGAGAAAAATATGTCCAAGAAAGTAAATTGTGAAGAAAATGCGTGTAGTAGAAAAAATATTGTATAAGACTGTTAATTTTGTAAATTGGTACCGACTAAGGCTTCGGAAAACTAAGTATAAATGAATCTTCAGCTCACATCTTCGTTGTTACTTAAAATTGTACAAATATTTTGAATTCTATAAGTACCTGTCAATTAAAAAAAAATTCTGCACAGATTTTTAATATCAATTCAATATAAGTACATAATATCTACTTAAACTGTCAAACACCAAGCGGTCACCGGTGACCGCAACCTATTGTTCTATAATTGTGTTTACAAAACCAGTACTCGACGAGTTAATAATTAATACTTATTACTTATAAATAATGTATTGTCGTTACAACTATTCAGAAAGAGAAACAGTTCAATATTTTTCAGTCGACAAAATAACACAGAAATAACCCAGTCTATTGTATAAATACATGAAAAATAAAATCTATAATAGCATTTAAATTTAAACATGATATTAAATTTATTCAAATACCGTTTCACAGTAAATAAAGTTGCTAAGTATATTAAACGTGATTTCGAATTTTAAATTCTTTCACCGAACAAAATTTGCTAACATTTTTATACGAATTTTTCATAATAAAAAAATTCATAATAGTTTGAAATAAAAATCATTTCCAATTATGAAAATTGAATATTTGAAAAACGTTTTTTAACGAGAATTGCTAAAGTAAATCCCTGAGATTAGTCTGTCTATCTGTTATCCTTATCTGATAGATTTTGAGATGTGGAAGTATACCGCGGGTGTCACTTTTTGAAACTCATGATTTTAAATTGATTTCTATATTTTACCTAGCCATTTATTTAGCAAAGGAATTTTATATTATGTTATATTTTATTGAAGCGAATAGCCATTTTTATTCGATTAAAAATGTAAATTGTGTTTAAACATTATCCATCCATCCATGTAGGTAATTCATGGATGATTTTCTGATATTTTATTGTGGAAGTTATTTTCTGACAAGATTAAATTTGTAAATAATTACAAAATTAAAAATAGAATTGACCCTCCCCATACCCAATATTATCGATACACGTATTTAGTATTTTGTACACATCACAATAATAAAAATTTAATCGATAAAAAAGTTTTATTAAACAATAAAAAACTTACCAATGAAGATGATCCGAAGAAATCAAATCAAAATATTAATTCACGAAACTTTTTAAACAGAACAAAAAGTCGCACGCAATTAGAAATATTTCTTGGAGCACAGATTGAAAAAGTTTTTAAACAATATATTGAATTTATTTAAAAATTGTATTTGGAACAAAGTTTTCGCGCGTACGTTTCCGTTGAACGGGCCGTCAAGTCGTCTTCACGCACCAATGTTCAATGTGAGACTGGTGCTGTACCGTAGCAGCTGCCCGTCCGCTGACACGACGATACGTCACGGTATTAAACGAAAGCCCCATTCCTGCCTGGAAGAGCAATTAAAACAACAGTTTCCCAAAATGTTTATCGAACGTCACAATTTTAAAATATTGATTTTTCCGTGTCACCGTCGTTCGTCGTTGTTTTTGCTGCGAGAATTCGATATTTGAATCTCGAGCGATGTTGACATGTATGTTGTTTTTTTTTCGATGCGAATTTCTAGCAGCCAGTATTTTTTTTTGTGAAAAAAGTATCAGACAATGTTGATACTTTTTTATCTTGACGATTACTAAATCTTATCTGTGACTTAAGAGGTGTTACTTAATAAATTACACGAATGATACAATCGAAGTATACTGAGTTATGTGTGTGTACTTAATGCTATTTAATTAGAGATATTTGTTTGTAGATAATGTACACTTTTTTACGTAGTCTGTTTGAAGAGCTATTCTTTGCTACGTAATTACTTAATCTTTTGAGTGTTTTGTAATTTATTTTTCTTAGCTTCTGTCTAGAACTCTCCGAGTGTTATTTTTACTATTGAAATATTAATATTTGCGTGATTAAATAAAGCTTTGTTTACATATCAAGTATATTTTTTGAGCCATGTCAAAATGATTTATACATGAGATATTTTCGAAGCAAACCTTTTAAAAGGTCATGCTTCGCACAAATGGAGAGTATTAACTATCTGCTAATTTTAAATATCGTACACAGCCTATTAGGCACAACACGTGTAGGGACTAAAAAACACAATAAATCGTTTTGAAAAGATTAAAATTCATTTAAGTCGAAATCTTCGCTCGCAACCAGGGATTAACTCTCGATTGACATCGAGTCGTCGGATTATATCGAAATATCATGTTTAAATCGATTCCTTCCCTTTTATCACGGAGTCAGCAGCAAGGATAAGCCTAAAGTTATTATCGGTTGGTTAGATATGGACGATTTGGGATCCTTTCAAAACCCCTGGCTTTGACGAATAACGTGATATCTAATGGTAAAACCGACACGTCTATGGTAAACGTTTGGGTTTGGTTTAAACCTTAATTTCGTTAGAATAAGGGTTATTTTTGTATTAACGTATGTAGCTAAAGGTTTATGAGGTGTTAGGCTATGAATTGAAGCTTAAGTAAAGACATGAAGCGCCATTATTTAAGGAAATAAACGATACCATGAGACTGTTTCATTTCAGAGAGAGTTTTTATTTCCAAGTATGGAAAATCCTCTTATCCCATCTTGTAAGGTCCACAGTCCATATTTCCTATTTTTACAAATGGCTTTATGAGACAATCACTACATGAAGCTAGTAACTGTAAATATAGCTCAACTCTATTCCTTTTCTAATACAGTCGCAAATTAAACTGTCAAACACCAAGCGGTCACCGGTGACCGCGACCTATTGTTCTATAATTGTGTCTATAATGACGGTACTCGACGAGTTAATCATTAATTCGACTGTTCAGGCTTAGTTTAATGTGCTGGCAGTCTATATATGTATTTTACAAATACATTTCTATGTTCCACAGGAAGCTCTTCAGTGCAGTTATTCCAATTGTTTTCAAAGAGTGCTGTTTGTAGTTGTGAAATATTATAGGGAACTTACTAAGCAGTAATTTGACCTATATTCTTTAACTGGCTTTGTTCTTCAAGTCATGCTGGTGATAAGTCTTTTAGCTGTAAGCGGTTTTATGTTTGTGTTATACTAGTGGAAAAGCACGATGTTTCACGCCCGTTTCCTGTGTGGTCCCACTCTAAGCGTGGCTCTCTCAAACCGGTGGGTTGGGAATCACAAGTATGGGTCTTCTCGTAGTAATTTTAAAGACGCTGAACTTTCAAATGTATTTTTATTAATGTTATAATCAATTAAAGGCTTTCAAGCTGACTGCACGGTTGTTGCGGCGGCTGACCTACTGGCTGCCGTACAGCATATAGCAGGTTCAATTCCCAAAAGGAGCAATTCCTTGTGAGTTCCACAAATTGTTAAAGTGCATGTGAAATTGTGTTTTTAAACGCACCTATGACATAGGAGAAAACCTTAGTATGGGACAACGTTATTTTTGAAAAAATAAATGCGAAATAGAGATTCCTACCTGAATTATAGGTCTTCTCTCCCTAATACTATCCTTTATTAAGAAGATCAAGAAAAAATATTAACAAAGATTTCATATGACATCGCTTGACCTGATTTCAAGAGTAAAATAATAAATTATTATTTTATAAAGTATTAATTGAACAATATGTCTGACATATGTGACGTAGTGATAACCTTTGCAAGGCTACTGCACTGTATTTATCATGTAACAGTAGGGTCCTCAACCCACGACCCTTTAGCGTAAAAACCACTGGATCCATTGTCAGTCTATGACATTGACATGTTTTTATTGTATTCAAAATATTGTTTTATTTGATATTAATAATAATTGTAGAGTTTTTGTTTGTTTTTACACACAAAAGTTCTCACTGTGTGCTATTATTAATTTAAATTTCCAAGTGCATCGTTCGAAAGGTTTAATTCTCTTGGATTTGACCTTAAACTTATTGATGTTAAGGACCAAATTGCAATACCAATAATTCTAAATTACTTCTAATAGAAATGTTAGCAGAAAAATATCGACTACCTATAAATTTGTTTATACCTCTATATTTGATGGGCCGACGTTTGACCACTGTCTCGCCTGGTGGTAAGCGGTGATGTGGTCTATTAAGTAGTTCATACATATACATACATACCCCACGCCTGTATGCTGCCGGTAAGCAGAGACTATGAAACACCAATTAGTAGTTCGAAATAAACTAATATGATCTAAGAATTAAGTACAAGGTTTCCACATACATATTTCTGTACAAACTCACTCAAAACAATACAGAAAATAGGTAACACTCTCCCTCACCGCTTTTTCGTTCATATTACCATTGAGCCTCAGAACAATATCACTTAACAAATGAAAGTATATTAAACAAAGCCGCCATTAATAAAGTACAACAATAAACTCGAAACGTTTTAAATGATCCCTTGTTGAAACTAATACCGTTACTAATTAATTATTTTAATTAATTAAGTAATATAATGAAATCATTGAGTGGTCTTTGGAATTTTGGATACGAACTAGGTATATTAATTGCTTTTCGTTTCTAATCTGTGCCTTTAGCCAAACGCCAGAGCAAGAGAATAGAAAATTAAATGTATGGGGATGACACTGACAAGTGTCAAAATTTACGTCAATTCCATATAATTTTGTTTTCTATTCTACATTTAGACAAGCGCTAAATATCGCGGAGAATAGAAAATAAGAAACAGCACATTAAATAATACAAATCGAATAGCCAACTTGGAGAATCAACCAAATACTTCCATGGCAGTATCCGAGATCGCCCGTACCACTGAACCGCACACCATCAATGAGAGGCAAATACTCTTGCATGGAGAATGCGGCTCCAAAGGAATACGGCTACGAAGTGTAGCTCTGTTCATGAACACCAGCAGCGAAAGGCTAGGGATAGCCTTCTGCGAAAGCAAGAACAGCAAATGGCTTACTATTTCACCCGGCTTAGCCTCCCTAATGAATGGCAGCACATCCAAGACAAGTATGCGGCGCAAAACATACGATGCGCTGCCAGAAATGCAACTGCTGGGTCGGAGCTGTCGACTACTGCGAACACGCAATAAAACAATTGCAATGTTCTCCAGCGTCGACTCAATATCTTGTTTTGAACAAGCTTGCGGTGTGCTGTCGGACATGGGTGGGCGGGGAGAGGTCGAGGGTATGAGTCCCAGAATAATTAGTGTGGACGCTGCCGTGGTAGCTTATGAGAAGGGAAGAACGGCAGACCTTATAGGATGCGTCAGGGCTTCAGAACATCATGAAGTCATCGTGTACGAGAACAGGGGTGAGGACTTGAGTTTCCTCAAAAAGCCAGTTCGATACGCGCTAAGGGTGGATTCTCCAAGCGGCTCAGAGCGTCTACAACAAAGATATAGGCAACAAAGCGCTCTGCAACAACACCAACAAAACACCGAGAGGGAAAATAAAAAATTAGAATCACGAGGTAGAGTGTGGGCAATAACAGCGGCCATATGCTCAGTAACCGGACTGATTTCGTCACCCTTCAGAAAAAATGTGGTTAAATCTGCTCAAGGATCAGGAGGCGCACAAATACAGTCTCCTCCCCCCAGGTCATCACCAACAAGAGCAGCTATGGGTCACGTTTGTCCGCCGAGGCTTCGACAAGCGCCCACTACCAGAGACCATGTCGTAAATGCTTTTCTCGAGTTTACCGCAGTGGTGGAGGCAACCAGGCAAGTCAACATGCGGAAATGCGAATCCATTCTGCAGACTTACCTGCAAGGAAACGAGCTAATACTGAACGATAGACTCGAAGCAGCAGAAGCAGTCATATACGACAACAACACCTCGAGGGTACTGAGAGGAACCTCTATAACTCGAAGTATGGCTGCTTATAACGCAACTGCCGGATTTGTGTCTCTGGACGAGAGGGAATCCGATCGATGCGGAGTGTTAAAGTTTAAAACTCCTCCAGGGGATTCCCTAGTAGTGGTTGCCAAATGCACCAGAATTATGCTGGACGATAGAATATTAGAGATGGCAAGATCCATTTCTGATTCTGGATCAGACGGCGAAGTTTTTGGAGACTGGCATACTCCGACGTTTCGCTGGACAAATGGCGTCCCTGGTTGCGGAAAAACGACATGGATAGTAGATCAATTTGAAGCGGGCAAAGATCTAATTGTCACCACGACAACCGAAGCAGCAAATGACCTCAGAGGCAAACTATCCTGCCGAATCGGAGGACTCGTCAAATCTAGGGTTCGAACAATGGCGTCCATCCTAGTAAACGGCTTGGGGGAGCGAGAGAGCTGCCATCGCCTAATGGTAGATGAGGCTCTCATGAACCACTTTGGAGCCGTTGTGATGGCCGCCCGAATAACTCGAGCCAAGGAAGTCCTTCTAATTGGTGACA